GAAATTTAATCCCCTAATCTGTATCAAGATTTACCAAAACATCCATGGTGAAATAATTGTTTTGAAAACCTTTTAAATATTTTTGTGTGATTACAAATTTATTTTCATCACTTTGGAACCAGGCCCGTCTTAAATTCAGTATAGAAAATGTTTTTTTTTTATTTTTTTTACCTTTGTGTCAATATATGCTAATTAATCTGTTCAAAGTTTGTGCTTGACAATTTATACAACGACCTGAATATGAGTAAACGTGTATTTTGTAAATGTTCAATTACAATATTTTTCATAATTTTTTTTTCGCATTAAATATGTTGTTCATTCAATTATATGTATAACTTTAAATGTGGCTGATACTTATTTTATATGGACAAGTATAGTGACATTCACATCAATTCGACAGCAAGATTCTTATATTATTCTTATTGAGTTGCTGCTATGTAGTGGTGATTGATATTTTAGCATCAAAAAGACCGGGGTCTACTGGATTAAGGACATCCATTATGTAAGTCTAAGCTGCCGCATAATGTTCTGGCACACTTTCGGTAATCGTGCAGGAAGATATCTATTTTGCATGCAAATTAGTGTTCTGGGACACTAAATTTTAAGACATTCGAACACTGGTGAAAAACAAATTAAATTGTTCAGTAAATCTAATATTTAGAGTTTTAATATTCAATAATATAATTGTGTTTAATTGCTGAATTACTACTAGCTGTAATGATTAAATTATGACAAATCCTTGTTTTTACAACAATCTGCGAGTATCAATATGTAATAATCCCAAGATTCTGAATAACTTCAATAATATTCTCGGAGTGCAAATTTATTGTCAATAGATAGTGTTTTTCTAATACTATCATTAATTTTAGCTAATTTAAAACAAACTAAATAACGACTCGGTTATTTTATCTACATAGTATAATACACATTTCCAAAAACATTTTATATTTATTATACATAATAATCCTGAATACTGATTAAACATTCAAAAAATTTGCATTAAAGTTACAAAGTTGTAATGTAAAATTGTGCATATCATGTCTATGCGTTTTCTTTTAGTAATGTAATTGTTGTTGAAAGTATATGAGTGTTTTATATTTTGCTGTGCCGGTAGTTCAATTAGCAGAAGACCTTGCACGGAGTTGCTCCTGTTTTTTAAACGAATCCTTGTTCATTTATAAAAAAGTATTGTGGCAATACTACTCAAAGACGTGTTGTGGAACATTTAAAAAACTATCAATGTTGTATGTGTTAGTTTAAAAAAATATTTCTTTGTTTAGTGAATGTCAGGGAATACTGAGAAACAGTTATGCTTGGACATAAGGCACACTTTTGAGTAGTATATTCACACAATAATGAATTCTACCATACTATTCGTAACATGCACAACCCCCGCCCAATTTACTTACATAATATAAATATTTTTTTGTTAAAACATGTTCAACAATAGCACATTGTGGCACTCATTGACAAATAGGATGTAATAAAACCGCAGTAACCGCAACATAATAATGAATATAAATATGTGACTTTCACCCCAATCAAATCTAATCTGTAAGCGTCATAGGCTTTATTGTAAATAAATAAATAGAAATTAAATAAACTGATCAGAAGATATTGATATTTGCTCGGTATCATGTATACATTATCCAAGCTTTGTACAACATAGTCTGTAATAATAGCTCAACATTTTTTTCATTGAATCGAGCTGTAAAGAGCATAACGTTTAATAATAGCTCAATAATTTATATATTGAACCAAGATGTTAATAACATAGCGTTTAGTAATAGCCAAATAATTTATACATTGAAGGAACGAAGCTGTTTACAACACAGGGGGTTGTGCATGTTACAAATAGTATGGTAGCATTCATTATTATGTGAATATACTACTAAAAAGGGTGCCTTATGTCCAAGTATTACTGTTTCGCGGTATTCCCTGACATTCACTAAACAATGACATATTTTGTTTTTTTTTTAAAACAAACACATACATCATTGGTAGTTTTTAAATGTTTCACAACACGTCTTGAATAGTATTCGCACAATATTTGTTTAAAAAAAAAACAAGGATTGGTTAAAAAATACGAGCAACTCCGTGCAAGGCCATCTGCTAACTGAACTAGCCGCACAGCAAAATATAAAACACTCATATACTTTCAGCAACGTTTAAATTACTTAAAGAACACCCATATACATAATATAAACAATTTTACATTACAACTTTGCAACTTTTAATGTGCATTTTTTGAATGTTTAATCAATATTCAGGATTATTATGTAAACAAATAAAACATGTTTTTAAAAATTGGTATTACACTAAGTAGATAAAATAGCCGAGTCATTATTTAGTTTGTGTTAAATTAGCCAAAATTAATGATAGCATTAGAAAAACATCTATTTATCTATTTATAATAAATTTGCACTCCGAGAATATTATTTAAGTTATTCAGAGTCTCGGGATTATTACATACTGATACTCTGAATTTCGCAGAATGTTGTAAAAAACAAGGATTCGTCATAATTTAATCATCGCAGCTAGTAGTATATCAGCAATTCAACAACATTATGTTATTAAATATTGGAAATCTAAACATTAGATTTACTGAACAATTTAAATATTTTTTGTTTTCACCAGTGTTCGAATGTCCAAAAATGTTGTGTTAATATTCAAAATATTCACCAATTTAAACTACTAAATACGGTTCATAATGTTCACAAAACTTCAATCAAGCTTTCAGAATGCAACTCTTATTAGAATCTTAATCGAAAATGTTCAATCATTCTATATTTTTTATACATTTTCTGCACCTACTGGTTCAAATTTGTATGAGATACAGTACTGTTATTGATTGGAATCATAATAATACTCGCTGCAACTATTAATAAGAAATTTCAAATGACAAATAGTTTACGCTTAAAACCAGAATCGATCGCAAAAAATATATAATGTGTAAATTATGGTTCTTTGTGTTTCATACAATTGCGGGGAAAATATTTCTGTAGATTACATTGTTGAGAATATCTTGGCAAGAGTAGGCCAATAATACGAAGGTTACGCAAATAGTGTGAAGTTTCAACAACAAGCAAGAATGTCTCGGCAACGAGTGAGGATTCTACTACTACTATGCTGCATTTAGTGTGAAGGTCTCAGAACACTAATTTGCATACAAAATAGATACCTTCCTGCACGATTACCGAAAGTGTGCAAGAACATTATGCGGCAGCTAGACTTACATAATGGAGGTCCTTACTCCAATAGACCCCGGTCTTTCTGATGCTAAATATTAATCACCACAAGATAGCAGCAACACAATATTAATATAATACCTCTTGCTGTCGAATTGATGTGAATGTCACCATACTTGTCCATATAAAATAATTATCAGCCATATTTAAAGTTATACATATACTTGAATGAACAACTTATTTAATGCGAAAATAATTTTAGGTAGCCATTTAGTTAATATCCACACCGTACCAATATATCACACAAACAAGTAGGCAATATAAAGTTATGTAATATAATACAGTAATACTAGTAGTGTAACCATGATGTTTGATTAAAAATATTTATATACTAATTTTATTAAATCATCAGTAGTGTACTACATGCAATCGGTGAATTTAAATAGTGTGTTGAAAAAAGAAAAAATAATAATAATGAAAAACATGGTAATTGAACATTTATGAAATACAAATTTACTCACATTCAGGTCGTTGTATAAATTGTAAAGCACATGTTAATAAATGTTTTTGAAAATAAACTTTGAACAGATCTAATTAGCATATATTGAAAAAAGGCATTTTCTATAATGAACTCTGGTTCCAATGTGATGAAAATTAATTTGTAGTCACACAAAAATATTCAAAAGGATTTCAAAACAACTATTTCACCATGTATTTTCTGGTTAAATCTTGATACAAATTAGGGGGATTAAATTTCAAAACATTGAAATGAATATTCTTTAACTAAAAAAATTATTCACAACAATTACGTCTTAACTGAAAAAATATTACGCTATATCTCAATAATTATGCAAACAAA